GCTCCGTGCGAAAGTACAGTGGTTCAGAGATTTAGGCAGAATACAACCAGTATGGTTCCCTTTCCCCCAGAAAGAGAACCGCCAAATGAAGTGCCAAACAGTCAACACAGATTTGGGTGAGCAGGTACATGTCGCCAGCTCTTGCGGACTGGGAATGGAGGCCTCCATTGCTTTGGCCGGCCAGATAGCTCAGTGGATTAAAGCGCCTGCAAGCAGGCACAAGGGCTGGGGGTTGATCCCCCGGCCTGCCCTGCTGGCCCCATCCCTGGGGCACGTAGAGATGGTAATTGAGACTACATGTGGTGGCGCGCACCTGTAATCCCAGCTCTTGGGAGGCTGTAAGCAGGCGGATCACTACGAGTCCGATCTAGTAGTGAGAACTTGGACACCCTGTAGACCCTTCCCTAAGATAAAAAAGGAAAATCAAGACAATTGGCTAGACCTAGCATCAAAAATTAGAATCCAAGAAAAAGTGGAAATGAGAGAATCATTGAATTTCCGTGCTGACAGGGCTTACCAGGTCCTGGGGGCCTTGGCTCCTGATCAGCCAAGGCGCGTCCTAGCAGACCGTTAGTTACACTTTGTAATTTGGAAACAGCGAGTCCTTCAAGGTCTCCAAACTACAAGATGACTTGGAAGGCCTGTAAGTTTGACTGCTCTGACTTTTCAGACACCACACGCAAGTCTGGAACACAACAGCAGAGGAGCATAGCAACAGCGGAGAGCTGTTGTGCCGTGAAGGAAGACATGCTGGAGGAATGTGGGGCAAATGGATGCTCACAGAGACCATAACGTTAAGTGGAATATGAGGGGCGGGGGGTAGAAGAAAGGAAATAGGGAGTGCTTTTCCCAGATGGATGGAGGAACATGTGATGAGGGAGGAGGGGAGATAAAATGATAGAAAAAGTTGAGGAACATGAAAATAAGAAAGGGGACCAAGAATTGGATGGACCAGGGAGAGGAGGGATGGAGGATAAACTAAAAGGAATTATGTATCTGTACCAACTCTAAGAGATACAGGTAATCACTATGTAATGCAAACATGTACAATAAAGTTTTTTAAATAATCTTAAGGAGTATGGGGTAGTGTAAGCCACATGTTTGTCCTTCAGGCATCAGCCAGGACTAAAAACAAACAAACCAGTTTGAATATCCGAGAACCCAGAATGTGCTGCATGCGCATGCGCCACAGTAAGAGACAGCTTCCTTCAACAAGGGGTGACTTGGGAACGGGCCTGAGGGGAGAGAAGACTCCGGCAAGTAGGTACAGAGCCAGGAGCAAAACAGGGATGTGGTTGTGATTTGAGGAGCAGAAGTGTAGGAAGAATGAAAAATAATACGAAATTTATTACAGGTGCTTGACTTTATGTGTGACGTGCAGGTGGAGTTGGCTAATGGGTCCTGGGTGAGGCGTCATTTACGTGTCAGGTGCCTCAGTGTGGGGTGGCAGGTCCGGCAGCTGGGAAGGAAGGGTAGCTATGAGTAAGGAAGAATAGGGACAAAGTGGAATCGCAAGCAGAAACTGGAACCTCGGTGAGCTTCCAGGTTATTAAATGAGGTGACGGGCAGAGTAAGGAGGTGATGTCCTTTGTCAGGAGCTGAGTGCTCACCTGCCCTGGAGTTGGAGGAGCTGAGGGAGGCGATCTGCTCAGCTTTATTCCTTGTGTTCATCTGCCTGCTCGTCTTTGCCTGCCCCTTAATGTGAGCCTTTTGGATCCACGTTTAGATGTATCTCATATAGTGTGTCCATCTTTTAATAGATGAGTTCAGCCCATTCGTATAGTGTATGATTGTTTTAGGAGGCAGTTACTAGTATTTTCCTCTTTGTACAAATGAGAAAAGTGAGAGATTAAATAACACGAAGGTAACGAGTGCACAGTCCTTCTCACTTCTTCCCACTGTCCCTACCTCCAGTTTTCAGGCAACCACATTTCGCTATAGTTTTAATTCTTCTGGCTGCTTTCAAGATGTCTTTAATCTTAAAATAGCTTAATCTTCCGTTTTCAGGAATTTGTTTAAAATGTGTCTAGACAGGGTTTTCTTATTTTGTGTGCTAACTTTGAATTCTGTAAATTGTTGCCTGTAAACTCATTTTGGAAGTTTTAGCATCATTTACATTTATTCTGTCTTAATCTCTTTCACATCTCCGTGTAGGGTTCCATTTAAACTTTAGACCTTTTAAATTGTTCCAGAGGTCTCTGAGGTTCTTTTCATTTTTTTTTTCTTTTCTTTTTTTTTTTTTTTAATATTTATTTATTTTTATTTATTACATTTATTTATTGTGTGTGTGTGTGGCCAGCTCAGCCCACCAGGGGGTGGGTCTGGCTGGCATGTGGTGCTGGAGGATCGAACCGTGGTCCCTGTGCTTTGCCAAGCTTGTTTCAAGTAGGTGCTTTAGACCACTGAGCCATCTCTCCAGCCCCTCATTTTTTTTTCTTTTATCTGTTTTTTTCATTTATGTATTTGACATAGTCTCACCAAGCAGCTTGGACTCAGTGATCCTCCTGTTTCCAGCCTTCCCTGCACTGGGATTAGAGGCATGCGCCGCTACGCCCAGACTCATTTGCATGCTCAGTGTGCCCAGGGGGCGGGGCCAGTGTGGCAAGCGGGACGTGGGGTTGATCCTTGGTCCCTGTGCTTGCCAAAGCAGGTGCTTAGTCTGCGGAGCTGTCTCGCCAACCCTGAGGTTCTTTTCAACTCATTCTTTCTTTGCATTTTTGCATCAGAATGAATTTATTTTAATAGGTGTATTTATTTCAAATAGGTATTTATAGGTCAGTTTCTCTGTTTCCAGTCTTTTCATTTACTATATGTATGTGGGTTTTTTTTTTTTTTTTTTTTTTTTTTTTTTTTTTTTTTTTTTTTTTTTTTTTTTTTTTTTTTTTTTTTTTTTTTTTTTTTCTTTTTTGCAGTACCAGGGATTGAACTCAGGACCCTGCACTTGGCCAGGCAAGCGCTTATTGTACTGAGCTATCTCCCCAGCCCTGTTTTTCTTGTAAGTGTGAAGCAAAGTTATCATCATTGCTTTAAAGTGTTTGCTAACTTAAATATACTTTATTTTGGCATTGATGTCTGTTGTGTTTTGTTTTGGATAAGCCACATTACCTGGCTTTTTTTTTTTCTTCCCTGAGACAGAGTCTACTATGTATATAGCTCAGGCTGGCCTCACACTCACAGCAGCCCTCCTGCCTCAGACTCCAGAGTGCTGGGCCTATGGCCATGCCCTGCTGTGCCTAGCCAACCTCAGTAGTTCTGAGACCATTCCTTGGACATTGGAACGTTATGGGACGAGATTTTGTCATAGACCTCTGGAGAATGCTGCTAACTCTGTGTTAGTAGACGTTCATCTCTGGTAGGTCACGTTATGCAGTCTGCCTCGTCTTCCATCAGCTTTCCTTCCAGTAATTCAGGTCTCAGTTCTCGAAGCATTTATTACGCTTTATTGGATGTGTCTCATGTTTGTACCTCAGAGGCAGAGCCAAGACTTGGGAGGATTCATACTCACATGGGGAATCGCGTTCTCCAGTGCGCTTTTTCTCTTAGTCTCTTGCTCTCCAGCCTCCCTGGTTCTTTGGAGTTTTTCTGGCGTTTTAGCCACCTTGATGTTTTCAGAACTGGGAGTCTGTTCTCAATGCAAAGCCAGGAAATGGCAGAAGGAATAAGAACTGGAAACATCCTCATGTTTTAAAGTGTTGAGCCTCCTGCGGCAGTCTACTGCTGTGTGTACCTTTCTCAGGCTTCGCACAGCGGTGTGATAGAGACTACCCGAGTGAGCTGCAGAGCCGCGATCGGCGTGGGCCTTGGCCCGTGGGCCTCGCCTGCGGGGCCAGCACTGGGCATGCAGACACCAAACTCGCTATGCCACCGGCCTCAGGAGGGCTCTCCGTGGTGCCGTGGCATCTCAGAAGGCAAGTACCATTTCAGCTGCGGATCTGACTCCCGCGCAAACTCCTGTAGAAGTGAGTATTCACCCAAGGGAAAAATAAGTTTCCCACTAATCCGTGGTAACACTCTGTCGCTTCTTACTCCTTCATGCTCCGTCAGTGCCTTCCGCTCCGGCTGTTCCGGGGTCTCCCTGCATGTCCCAGGAAGGCTGTGTGTGTGCACTCAATAGAGAGTGCAAGTTCAGAGATCCCTGGGCTTAGCGGCCGAGAGCGCCGGCCCTCTGGGCCCAGCATTCGATACTGTCTCTACCTTGCTCATCCTTCGTGGTGTCCTCACCGGCTGATTGAGGGTCTGATCAGCCCCGGTGGGGAGTGTGCCTGTTGCCTGTGTTTTGGTTTCAGCTTAGTAGTTATAATAGGGTAATGGGCTGTCGGGGCGTTGATGCCTCTCATTTGTGTGCTGTATCTATTCTTCCTGCTAAGTTGAGTAGGTATGAATGGATATGTGGGGAGATCTAACTTTATTATGTCTTTTACCTTAGTATTGAGTTTTTGTTCTGAATCTAGCCTAAATGTTTTTTCTCCTATACTAATATTTTGAAATAATGCATTGATTAGATAAAAGAAGTATGTTATCTTTGGTTTTTAACAGTCTACCAGGTTTGTTCTAAGAATGGCATAGTAAGGATTTCCCGTGGATGAAAAACCTGACATCATGGGAGATCTTGCTTATATTCATTCTGTTAAGGTATAATATCAATTAGATTTAAAAATTTAGGAGAATAATGTGGCAATACTCATGAAAAGCACTCATAGTCGTTCAGAATTTCAGAGGAGCTTATTCTAGGTAGGAAAACTTCAAACTCTAATTAATTTTCAGTGGCTTTGTCTAGCAGGAGGATATAGTTTTAAGCAATAACACTTGACTTTGATTGTGTGTTTATGTAGAAGTCAATATTGTCATGAAATTTGACTTAATTTTTTTGTACATGTGTTTAAGTGCAGTTAAAGACATGAATGTACTTGTTTCTTTTAATCTGCCAATCATTTATATTTATTAATGACACAAAAACTAATGTGTGGATATTACTACCCAACCTACTTTTCTCTTTTCAGATGGTCTTCTGATTGTTGGTGTTCACTCGGCTAAGTTCCCAAATGAGAAAGTCCTGGACAACATTACGAGTGCCGTTCTCCGATACAACATCACCCACCCTGTGGTAAATGATGCAGAAGCCAGCCTTTGGCAAGAGCTAGAGGTGTCCTGCTGGCCAACCCTGGTTATTCTCGGACCCCGTGGAAACATGCTGTTTTCTTTGATTGGAGAAGGGCACAAAGATAAATTATTTTTGTATACTTCTATAGCTTTAAAGTATTACAAAGACAGAGGACAGATCAGAGATAATAAAATTGGAATAAAACTCTACAAAGACTCTCTGCCGCCTTCACCACTGCTGTTTCCTGGCAAAGTAACTGTGGACCAAGCTACTAATAGACTGGTAGTAGCAGACACGGGACATCATAGAATTTTGGTTATTTGGAAAAATGGACAAATTCAGTACAGTATTGGAGGTAAAGCTTGTTTCTAAGTATGTTGTATATTACGTTTCACAGTTATAAATATATCTCAAGTAAATACATGAAAAATGAAATTTATAAATAACTAATAGGTGACATGCATTAATACCTTCATCATACAATTATATATTTGTTATTTAATGTATGGTATCTAATCTCCCCTCAAAAACCAAGAAAACTATTTGATAGGAAATCATTCAGTTACATATCTTAGATATTTTGTATATCCATTTGTGTGTGTGTATATATATATATATATGTTTGGTACGGGGTCTCACTATGCAACTCAGACTCATAGTGATCTTCCTGTCTCAGTTTCCCCAAGATTGGGATGACAGGTGTGCGCCACCATGCCCAGTCTCAGTGGCTCAGGGGCCAGCTCAGAGTGCCCGGAGCGGGACCTGTGTGGGATGAAACTCTGGTCCCTGTGCTTGCCTAAGCAGGCACTTAGTCTGCTGAGCTATCTCGCCTGCCCTTCCTTTTTTTTTTTTGCAGTACCAGAGATTAAACTCAGGCCCTCGTGCTTGCCAAGGAAGCGCTTATTGCACTGAGCCATCTCCCCGGCCCCCCATTTGGTTTTAAAATGATTACCAGTTATTGTGTCTTACTAAAAAAAAAAAAAATTATTAAAAAAAAATA